TTATCTTAGCCGAAGATACAGCCGATTTAAATGTAAAACGCTTTAGACACAATGTAATTACCACAAAACCGATCAAAATGCCGTTCCAACAATGTTTGCACGTGCGCATTACAACACCGTTGCTATGCAACCTTTTGGTTTTTCACCTAACTTCCTATTATTCATCAAATTTGCACTTTGCCTCGTTAAACATCGTTTTAGTGAGAAACACAATGAAATGTAATGACATCGAGATTCGAGAAACAGCTCAATCAGTAAAATGATAAATGCCCTTGATGCCAATATAAAAGGTATAGTACTGTTTATTCACAGTTTCTCAGGCTGTGACACGCTCATCAGTATATATATATACAGGGTGGGCCAAAAGTCAGTACCCATACGTTGGCCTTAATAGCTCCGCTGTGTTTTATATTTGAGAGCGGCAATTCAGTAGTGTGGCATAACACGGTTAACGCACGGTTAAGGCACGGTTAAGGCACAGTTAAGGCACGGTTAAGGCACAAGGGTTACATAAGGCACGGTTAAGGCACAAACTGCCCAAAAGCAACCATTATGGTCGCTTAAGGCACGGTTAACGCACGGTTGGGGAAATATAACATATAAACATACAAGTGGTTAACTAAGGCACGGTTAAGGCACGGCTAGGGAACAAGGGTTACATAAGGCACGGTTGAGACACGGTCACTTAAGGCACGGTTAAGGCACAAACTGCCCAAAAGCAACCATTATGGTCGCTTAAGGCACGGTTAACGCACGGTTGGGGAAATATAGCCTATAAACATACAAGTGGTTAACTAAGGCACATGATCTGAATGTGACGATCTGTAAATTTTACAGTGCGATTCGCGCTATGAATAAATTTTCTAATTGTAAATGGTAAAGCAACAGCCCTGCTTCGTTTGACCGTCCTATATTTGAAATCCTTATCTCGATTAACGATCTCTTCAAGTAACAAGGCTCTTCAAATTAAGTTAACATCTCCTAGAGCTCACACCTGTTTATTTGAGCGAGGTGATCTACACAACCTACTTCGCATGCAGTCATGTATCAGATCACATCACCCAACTTTGCTGCGTGCTGACACCACCCGCACACTTATCAATACATGCAAACTTTTTATCTCGTTGATCAGCTGACATGGATCATATCCCGACATAAACAACCGTGCCTTATGTAACCCTTGTTCCCTAGCCGTGCCTTAACCGTGCCTTAGTTAACCACTTGTATGTTTATATGTTATATTTCCCCAACCGTGCGTTAACCGTGCCTTAAGCGACCATAATGGTTGCTTTTGGGCAGTTTGTGCCTTAACCGTGCGTTAACCGTGCGTTAACCGTGCGTTAACCGTGCGTTAACCGTGCCTTAAGAACCGTGCCTTATGTAACCCTTGTGCCTTAACCGTGCCTTAACCGTGCCTCAACCGTGCCTTAACTGTGCCTTAACCGTGCCTTAACCGTGCGTTAACCGTGTTATGCCACACTACTGAATCGCCATGAGAGCTGTTGCTTTGCAGATGGCATACTGTATTTACTGGTTCGAGGATTCCGTCGTCAAAATTTGAAAATTCGAATATTTTAGACCACGCCCATTCAATATTAAAAGACCTATATTGTTTTCTCTGAACATGCTGAACGCCTAATTTTTTCAGAGACGGTAGATCATCAAATGTTGCATATGATCTGAAAACATGAGGCAAAACGGATTAGAAATGACGAAGTTATCAAGCATTTTCTGTATCTCGTTAACAAAATTGACTGGGTGATTATGTGACACCGTGACACGACACCTTAATTGGGCACCCTTAACAATTCCCATAATGTTTAACGGGGTAGTTAACGGGGGACCTTATCACGTGATTAGGTAAACCAATCACCCGATCACACGTAATGAATAAACTCGTTATGGTTCATATCTCGGTCATCTGAGAAGCTACAGTTCTAATTCTTTCAGGACAAACGTAATTCGAATAGCCAAACACAATTCAATAACATTTAGCTTGATCCGACTATCTAAACTATCAAATAAATGTGAAAATGAACCTCCATATTTTTCGAGTTGACAAATTCCTCGAACCAGTGGTGGTACTAAGTCATACCAGAAAGAAGTATTTAAATTGGGCACTCAGTGACTGAGCTATAAAGGCCAACGTATGGGTACTGACTTTTGGCCCACCCTGTATATACAATGACCTTGGTAAAGACGATACCTAAAAAGGCAGTTTCTTTTTATGAGGATCACCATTACTCTCTTTGAAAGTCTTAACAAATAAAGTTATTGCGGCTGGCTGTCCTTGTGACCTTATACATGTTACTATGTTAGTTTTACAGCTGCCAGTGCCAATAATGTTGCAAATTCTGGGCCCCAAACCTTTTTCGAATTTCCGAACGCGAATGTGAGATGAATTGTAATATCTGAATACTCATAACTAGACGACGTTTTTATTAAATTGTACAACAAGTTTTTCGAAATTTTAGTACATTTTTCAAATTTTGGTAAATTTCCGACAGCGTAGTCTATAATTATAAAAATAAATTTATTTAAACAAATAAAGATCTGACACAAATATTACTATTGCGGCCATTTTGCACACCCTATGGGGCTCCTGGGTGTCTTTTTGACGGTAGGAGTTTCAAGTGCGATCCTTAGGCGCCTGGAGAAAATTTGCTCTAACTTTTTCCCCAATCAGATCCAGATTTAAAAGTCGTTGGGGTGGTTCCTGAAACTATGGACAACACATTCCTGTAGAAAAATACTTGTCATAAATTTTTGTCCAGATGTTTCTGTATTAAAGTTAATTATCCCTAACTATAAGTATAATAGTAATACTAATAGGTAGTGCACCATCGACATGTAGTGCCAGTGGGCCGCGCGTGTGCACCGACTGGCGGACTGTAGGATGGTTTTTTGCGCTAATTTCGGCCAGCACAAAATTCTTGAAACAAATTCGTCGCGTATTGAGTAACCTTCCCTTGATCCAATTTTAACAAAAATTGGTGAGCTTACTTACCTTATCGGACCTTATTTGGACGGACATTACATGAACGGACATAATTATGAACGGACATTAATATGAACGCTCGACTGACTTACTGACTTAAGGCGGGTAGTATTCCCGAGATCCATTGACAACAGTTCTCCACAGCTTTCTGTCCTCCATCAGTCTAGCTATCTCATCTACTGATTTCAGCCCAGTATCTGCTTTTAGGTTATCTAGTAGTGTTAGGTAAGGTCGCCCCCTGTTAGTATGCCCATGACTCGGCTTCCAGAGGATCAGTTTGTTCAGTGTCAGCTCCGGATGTCAGTGAGCATGACCTGCAAGTCTGAGCCTTCGTTGGGTTATCTTGGAGCTGACTTTAGGAAGATCACCGTACAGACTGTGGTTGCTGACATGGTCTCGATATTGATTGATGTTAAGGGCCATTCTTAACATTCGTGTATAGCAACCATCAACCATCTTCTCCAGCCTTTTCGTCATAGTCCAAGTCTCAGAACCGTATAGAAGCACCGACTCGACTAGTGCTGTGAACACTCTGGTCTTGATAGACTTTCTAAGGTTAGATTTCCAAAGTTTTTTGAGAGTGTGGCATGCTCCCCATGCTCTTCCTTTCCTAACCCTGATATCACTCTCACTGTCTCTGATTCTAGAACCAAGATAGGTAAAGTCTTCCACGTGCTCTATTGTGTTGTTACCCAGGGACTTGATGGTATCAGGGTTCTCGATGTTCTGAGTAATGAATTTGGTTTTCCCTTCGTTCATTTTAAGTCCCACTGTAGCAGCAACTCTTTCTACCTCTAGCATCAGCATCTCTGCCTCCTTTACAGTATCTGCTATCAGAGCAATGTCATCTGCAAAACCAGTGTCTGTTATCTTCTCCGCCTTGACTCTCCTACTCCGATAAGGCTTAATGGTAAATCCTATTTCAGGATGCTTGCTTAAGGCTTGTCTCATGCAATAGTCAAGGGCTATAATGAACAAGTATGGTGCTAATGTATCCCCTTGAAGAACTCCTGCCAGGATATCAAATAGCTCGGTATCCCCATCTGGTGTTATAACTTTGCCCTTCGTGTTGACATAGAGAAGATTAATGATATCTACAATACTGTCCGGTATTCCATAGGCCTTAAGTATTTGCATAAAAATTCCCCGGTGAAGTGAATCAAAGGCCTTCTTAAAATCAACAAACACCATAGCTACCGGTAAATTTCTCTGTCTAGCCCCCTCTAGAATCCTTCTGAGTGCCAAGATGTGACTAGTAGTGGACCGTCCTTCCCGAAAACCATTCTGAGTGTCCCTAAGTACCCCCTCTATAGCCGGCTGGATCCTATTAAGCACCATTCTATTAAGAGTCTTAGCTACGAGAGAAGTCAAAGATATCCCCCTCCAGTTTCCAGGGTTGGTCAAGTCTCCCTTTTTGGGGACCGGGATGATGTTACTTATCCTCCACTGATCTGGCGCAATACCATCTGTCAGGGCTTTGTTGCAGAATGACAGCACGATTTCATCCAGGTCGCATCTTTTGAGGACTTCAGGTGGTATGCCGTCATCACCTGGTGCTTTACCTTCTTTTATCCTGTGTTTAGCAGCTTTAAGCTCATCCACAGTAAAAGGTTCTGTACTGATGCTGAGTCCTTCAAATTGATTCATGATCCTAGGATGCTCGTTTTCCACATCCGGTATACTCCCTAATAGATTCGTGAAATGCCCAAGCCAATTTTTCTTCCTTTCTTCGGCTCCGTTGCCCCTTATTTGAGTTGCCCCCTTGGCCTTCCTGCCAGTTATCTCATTAATGACATTCCAACTTTCTTTGTTTTTGCATCTGTCTGCAGCCATTTCGACCCTTCTAACCTTGGCAACTAGATCTTCTTCAAAGATGTCCTGGTACACCTGATCCAGTTCAGTTTTTAGTAGCTTAACAGACAGTCGACTGTCTTCACTAGGATCCCGGTGATAGACAGTCTCTGCTTGCTGCAAGGCTGTACGCACGCTTTGAACTCGCTGATCACCCGCATAAAGCAGAGTACCGATTCTTGACTTCTACCGCATATCTCTTCTGAAGGTCTTCATCCGATTTAAGTGCTCCCCAATTATACCAGGTTTTCTTGGGTTGCTTTTTTGCTCGTCGAAGAGATAGCTTGATCTTAGACAAAACAAGTCTATGATCAGTACCCAGTGTACTAAAGAAGCTGTAGACTTCAGTATTTTTGACACTGTTCCTCCACTTCTTCCTCACTAGAATAAAGTCTAACTGAGACTTATTCAGGGTTCCATCCGATAGGTGAGTCCACATCTTACCCCGCTTCTTTCTGAACCTGGTGTTTGTAATCTCCAGATTACATTCCAGGGCAGTATCCCGAAGCAGTTCCCCATTTCTGTTGGTTCTCTCATGGAAATACCAACCAAAGTCATTCTCGTCCCTCTTTGATAGGTGAGCGTTAAAATCCCCAATCATCTCCAAGAAGTTGTGAGCAGGGATCTGTGAGACTGCACAACACCTTAGATCGGTATGAAACTTCTCTGCTGCTTCTACACTATCTGCCTCCGTAGGTCCGTAGACACAGACGAAGGTTGGTTTAGGATTACCATTTAGAGATATCTTAAGGATTCTCTCCGTTACTGGTGTTATCTCCGTAGTTGCGTCAAATGCCTTGCTAGTTAGGATGAATCCCACTCCGCCCACTGCTGCCTGGGCCCGATTCCTAGTAGCTGATGAAGTAATTAGATAGCTGCTCTTGCCAACTCTCTCTACTTTGACAGGCTCTTCATGGACTATCCTGTGCTCTTGGATACCTACAATCTCTGCTCCACTCTTCTCGAAAAGATGTACCATCTCCAGTTTCCTCTGAGCAGTTCTTATCGTTCTAGTGTTAAGAGTGCCTACCCAGGTAATGTCGGTACATGAAAATAAACTTTTTTTGTTGTTTTCGTTTATGTTGGGTGTTTCAGGTTGATTAGGCTCATCATTCACCAACCTTCCATTCGGATTTAAGTTGGTGAAATCATTACCACCTTCACGTCCAGAAACAAAAGTAGGGGCTGATACCCTAGTGCTGTAAGAACTATTCATCATGTTTCTTTTCTGTTGGCTATGTGACACGTGAGCCACCTGCGCCACTGGAATGGCTCTCTTGATAGCTACTTCATCAGTAGATGTTCCCACATACAGTAAATAAAACGGAAAGATGACAGATGGTGCTCCCATAGTTCCGGAATCTGTTACATCTTCATTAACCCAAATCACCATCATCACGGGCTTGTTCTGAGGATGCCCGGCTTTTTTTCGGGGGTGCACCCCTAGATCCGCTGTGTTCAGTTACAACTCCATCACTGAAGTTGCATGCAGCCCCACCTCGAGCAGGATGTGGCTCTTCACCACGCACAGACGGTCTGAATGTACAGAGTTGAATCTGCAGCATCCTAGGTTTACCCGTAATAGAGCAAAACCTTTGGGGTCTAAACGCTCGAAGGCATTCAAAACCATCAAAAATCCGAACTTTTTTCAATTTTTTGACGGTTTTTTGATTTCAGCAAATGATTTTTAAATCCATTTTTTATACAGTAAGTAAGAAAAGGAGTCATTAAGCAGTAAAAAATGTTAAAATATGTGTACATGATCAGTGTCTAATGTCACATATCATCTTTATCAAATGGGGTTTCGTGCATGAAATAGTCCATGCTTCTGTGATTTCTAGCTTTATGGAAACCTTTTTTATCAAACTACCCCGGTCCTGCATTTCAGTGTTAACTTTTACAAGCCATTCGGCGTGAATCGGTTTTATCTTAGACAATTTTAGGTTAACCTTAACATCACGTGGAGCTTTCCTAGCACTGTTTCATTACCTCCCCTCAGTAATATGAACTATAATAACGTCGGACAATGTCCTTGGCAACACGATTTACCGTAATATCTAGAGGCTGGAACAAGTTTGTCATGTTGGCGGGGACTATAGCTCATGAACTATGTTTTTGAGTGCCATAATTTCGTTGACTTTTTCCGCCAAGTGACCCTTGATAACATCATATACTAGTAGAGTTTTATGTGCCTCCGGCAGACCAAAGAGAACCTTTCCGTCGTTAACTTACGGCACAATAAAGTTCCCATAGTTGTCATATTCTGGACAAAAAGTTCGAAATGGAAAAATTTTTGAAAAAATTTCAACGGACTTTAACTTGGACGGACATTAATTGAACGGACTTTATTTGAACGGACATTAAGATGAACGCTAGGGCCTCCAGCGTTCAAGTAATGTCCGTCCAAATAAGGTCCGATAAGGTATACTTATAGTTATAGACTAACAAGGAAACTTTCCAAAAAATTTAGAGCATATCCAACCATCAGACATTGTGTTACAGCTAAAAGCAGCGTATTTTGCCCCATTTTCATCACTATAGAAATAAAACAACCTCTGAGATTAAAAAATTTAAGAATTATATACGTAAATCTACATTTTACGACGAAACGTTCATTATGCCAATGAAATATAATCACAACGATCATTATACATATAAATCAATGGTCCTTAAAGGAAACAAATTGTTCGCTATAATTTGAGCCTATCAAAAATACAATTTCGACACGTACCAGGGCTTAAAATGACAATCATACCACAATCATACCACATACTTATTTTCTTCAATTCATAAAGTTATTTATTTTATCACCATCAGACAGTATCAAGAACTAAAGGCATTGCAAAGGTTTTTAAAATGCCATTGCCATGCACATTGTGTGCATTGCCCCACTTCTCTCCCTCGATAAGAAGCATAGACCAGCAAGCAGGGTATAACCTGGGTAGGAGGCAACGTTCCAGTATTAAGGCAGTAGTCTATCTCGCTCTCTCGCCTGCTGAGCGGTGCGCTGATCTCCGCTGGAAACAAAACGTCTCCTGATGGAAGCAAAAACCACCCTGATCCTAGACTTCAGGAACTCCTGGAAGCTGGTGAGACTGGCTGTGTAGATGAAGAAGTTAGCAGGGGCTTGCAGATACAATATGAACATTGCAAACCTAGTATATGCAATGTAGGAAGTCGGAGTAGACTCTGGCTGGTTTTTTGGATGTTCAAATAGGTTAACAATTAACGGGACAGTTGCTATGGCATAAACCACCACAGTGAGAAGGACCGTTCTGATCCCCTGCCATTGGAGACCTCCAGCTCTTCTATCTGCAATCTTTTTTGCCAGGAATAGTAGCATAACGCTGCTCACTGTGATGATCCCTGTAGTGATGAGTCCGACTCCTCCTATAACTACTCCAAAGACATAATCAATCTTGGACTTATCAGCTGGAAGTGCATAGTCGCAATTGTAGCTCACGTAGCTGAAGTAAGCACCCTTTTCGGCAGCCACGAGCACTCCAAAAGAAGACATGCATGAAAACATGACCAGGGTCGTCAGATGACCTGCTCTCTTTGAAAAATGAACTGCTCTCAGTGGATATTTCACGATCAGGAACTTGGCAAATGTAAGGGCACCGATGAGAAGAGCGATTGTTCCCCCAAAGCTGCCCGAAATGAAGAATCCTGCAGAGCAAAGGAAGTCACCGAAGACCCAGACATTGGCAACAAGTGAAACTGCACCAGGCAGGAGTCTAACGATGGAGATGACCAAATCAGCGACAGCAATGTACTGGATGAATACCACCATTATCTTGTGAAGCTTTATAGCGTTGTACCTCATAGAGCCAATGAGGATGAGGGTGTCTCCTATCAGGGATGATAGGAAAATGAAGGACGTGTATGCAGAGAGAACATACCTTTCAGCTTTGTCATGAATTCCAAATCTTGTGTAATTTTCGTACTTCATTTCGCGACTGGAAGTCGTACTTTAAAGTAAGCACTGACACAAACACAGGCCGGGTCACAAATGAGAAATGCAAAATTATTTAACCGCGGACTTGGACTTTTAGTAGTATGTCGTAGGTACATGACAAAAAATTTCTGGGGACCCCAGGCTATTAAGTTCATAAATATGGATTCGGCAGAATGACAGGCTGAGCACCGCCCAGTAATATTATACCCCTTACAGTCTAGTAGCAGGGTGTATTGCATGGAGTGTGCACTGTGCACTTCGATGTACTGAGTTTCTTGCTACTCAATTGGGAATTAAATAGGTCACTCAAATATTTATATACAAGCTATGAAGCAACATAGGGTCTATTATATTGCTTGAGTTTAGAGATATTTATTAAAATTGGTTTACCTTCGCTTCGTGCATCCAAAAATAATAACATCAAACAAAATCCTTCCAGCTATTTTAGGCGGTCTTCGGCTCCGTCTTTCAACCTTTCAATCTTTGGTTACCTCAAACTAATAATTCTAGTTTTTTGTAGCATCCTCTGAATGCTACCTCTTGCTTTCCAATTTCTAGCATTTGGATCACTTTGGATCTTCCCGGCTGTATCTAACATTTTCCAGCAACAAAACTACATCAAAGTGCACACTCAACTACACCGCTGCTACTGGAGTATTTACTGTTTTTCCAGGCATTAATGATTAAGACTCATCGAAAGTCGTTCAGCAGGCATATTTTAAATTCAAAACATTCTGATTCAATGTCAAAGATGACAGGAATAATGAATAGTACGAGGTGCAGTGTGCACGATAAAAATAAACTTGCTCGGATTTTCAAAATGTTTGTACCATTGTTTTTTAAAGAGTATAAGCCTTTTCACAATACCAAATTTGTTACACCTTTTTGGAATTATCAGTGAGTTTCGCATAGGTGCCATATTTGAGCTTTTGGAGCTTCAGTAAGTGTAAAAGTCCGTAATTTGACGAAATTCGTTGATTTTCTGTTTTCGTCGTATTATTTTGGCATATATTTGGTTCCTAGAATGAGATCATTTTAAAAATTTGTAAAGACCTTCCAATTGGACTTTAAAAACTTTAAAAAGGGGTTGCAAAAGGCCGGTCACAAAAGGCTCTTTCTCCGGCCGGAGTGCACCAGAGAGAGGTATACAACGTTTAGCAAGATTCGATTAATCAGTAATCACTCTGCACTCGACTGTACGTAGCTATGTAGAGTTTCTGTAACGTGAAGTTAGAGATATGTCTGTAGTAGTGAACCCTTCAATCCTTGTCTTGTGTGTGGTTCTATCATGGTCCTGGGATGTAACAGGTAAGTGATGCACATTGAAGTAATGTATCTTCAAGTGAAATAATATAAGGGACAATTATAATGCAATGTAAAGGTCTAAGAGAGCTGGGCCCTTCACGAACTTACACACTTACTCTGGCTCTAATACTCACGTGGCGTTTGTTCTCTTATTTATGGTAAATCTTACCTGGGAATCTCAGGTACCTGGTACATCTACTAGTACATCTACTGTTGGCTTTCTTCACTATATAGCCTTTCCCTCCGGTTGCCATGTCCATTGTTCGATTTCGCGATACTAAGTATATTAGAATCAATGAAACAATAAGTTTTGAATATTAATGAATACACACAAGGGTATATCGCTGTGATATAATTTCACAATTCAGCTGCCAGATGTCTTGCTACTACTTATAGAATTAGAATAGAACCTCAGATATAAATTATAAAATGCAATGCTTTTAATAGCTACATTTTCTTCGACACCTTAGAAGCCTTGATCGTTTACAAGAACGTGGACCATTAATAAAGAGCCTGGTCAGATTGCCCCACATAACTGAATTGTGAAATTTTATAACAGCGATATACCCTTGTGTGCACTCATTAATATTTAATATTCATTATATTTCGTCGCAATGTATAGTGCCCTGGACCTATGCGGTAAGTTTGATCTTACCTGGGGACCCTGCATAGTGATTAGTCGTCTACCTCACACAGATACTCTTATGTAGTAAGATTATGATTTATATGGCAGAATCGTTCATATATACTGCCAGCCATAAATAAAAGAGAATTAATATGTAGACGGGGGGGGGGGAGTACACTACAGACAGTTGAGCTTTTACTGCTTTTCACAAATTCTTCAACGACCTCTACAACCAAAAGTGCAAGGATCCATCCCACCGTGAACTTCAAGCCCACAACGCAAGCAATGATGGGAGCAGCCACCCTGACCTACCAACTGAAGTGGAAAATCTTAACATGGAGTTCACTCTACAAGAGCTTGAAAAGGTGATCAACAAACTCAAAAACAACAAGAGCGTATCACTGGACCTAATATCGAACGAGATGCTCAAGAACTCCAAACTTTGCCTAAGGAAAGTTCTTCTCAAGTTGTTCAACGGCTGCCTGGAACAGGGGACTTACCCATGGAA